GAGCGGGAGTTTGCAAATGACAGCCAGGTCAACATGAAAGCGGAAAGTGTGGATCCGGTCAAATACCCCTTCTGCGCCGCCGTCAACAGGGCCGCTAAAGGTTAGCTTCATTTTCATTAGTGCCATTTCGGGTAAGGAGGACTTGTATGGTCGCCTACACAGGACCCAGGAGCAGGAACTGCCTACAATGCCTTTGGCTTTACGTCAACTTCTAGGAGAACTAGGTTTTGGATTAAGTCTAGGGTTAGGGGGAGTTAAGGGTTGGATTTAAGGTCGGAGTTGAGGTCAAAGTCAGGAGTGTGTTAAAGGTTAAGGCATGGGTTTGTGTTAGATTTTGCGTTAAGGTTTAGATAGGGCTTTGGCTAAGCCATGTGTACAGTGTAGTTGTATGCTAGGCTTATATTTAGGGTTAAGATATGGGAATAGTTAACATTCCTGAAATTAATCGCAAGGCCACTTATGTTAGGTGAGCAGGACGGTCCTATTCCCGTTTCCTGTTTAGATGGTCGTACAAGTCCTCCCCACCCCATCCTATCCCTTTGGCAGCGACATCCCGAATTTCATGTTACTGGAGGCCATAAAATTTGTGCTTTAAACATGTGTTTCGATAAATGTAGACTGTCAAACTCACTGCACATATTCAAGGTATATTCCTGTGCTCATATCTACGGCTCAAGTTATCATCTCCCCAAACTAACGCTTACTTGACTTAGGAAGTAAGTCAACTCTTTGTCAGTGAACTGGTCTACCTTTGCATATGACGACCCCCAGAGCATTATCTACAGGTTCTGCCGTCAACCTATTCATTAATGCGCGCAAAGCAGGCGTGAATCCTTGGATAATGCATTCATTTCCTTTGAAATAGATACTTGTCGACCAACAACCAGAAATAATCACGAGTGAATGTGGTACATGCATGTATCAGCCTATTTTACCGTTACCTATGGTAAAGGGTTCTTGACAAAATCCTAATCTCAAGCAAATAAACTTCTTCCAGCGATCTTATCGTCTATTTCTGTTAAGTATCAGTTTCCAAGGGGGTGTCCAGGTGGGTATGTGTACAAATATTAGACGGGGACAGAAAGTGTGTATGAGGGTTTTTTAGCATAATTACTACTGGGACAACGTGACTGAATCTGAGATATGTTGCCCCATTGAAAACCATGTTCGCAAACTGTATGTTTCCAGTACAATACTCCTCCGGTTCCATCTGGTTTTTAATGAGATTTCATCAACTTTTATGAACTCTGCTTTCTAGTGTTTTTGACTTGTAAAATCTGCACAAGCTCCAGGAAAAAATAAGAGGAAGATAGCTGTTGACCGGCATGATGTGCTTCGGGTGAAAATTGAGCAAAGGGTTTCCGGTATCACCCACACAGAAGAGACTTCTGCTAACCGGTAAGAGTGACACTGCCAACATTACGAAAGCTTAGCCAGATCGCAGCCCGAAAACCATGCGTGCAGAATGTCTAATGCTAGCATAGACATTTTTTCAGTGGACTTCGGTCATATTTTTATTTGGCTTGCTTTGTGGGGCTGCCTTTACCCTATATGTTTAGGTTTTGATCGTTACGATGTCCCGCTAATGTGCCCGGCTTTATATGTTCTTTTGCTTACCTCAGAACCTCTGCGTTAGTAGGTAGATTTTTCTAGGCGTCCATACACCTCCTCCATTAATATTACCTACACATGAGGATAAAACACGAGTTGCATTCTACTCAAGACTTGCTCACTATAATTCAGTGCACAGGGGATTCATCACTACGCCACTCAATTATTGTCTTTGTCGGCAATCTTCATCTAGCTGCTGTGCGAATGCTGGCGGGGCTCCAGAGTGAGCCCCAAGGTAGAACAGGACAAATGAGTTCCGATAGCGATCAGTGAGCATTCATCAACGAATATGAGGGTTTATTTGCATCGTAATTTACGGGTTGTGCGTCTATTACCAAATGCAATCACCTCCTCCAAGCCATATTCGGTGCTGCTTTGGACAAAGCAACCGGCTTATCGGGGAGCACGCATGCGAACAAACTATTTCCAATGCTAATATCGGTGAGCCAGATGACGAACCAGTCATCATGCCAACCTTCAACACAAGTGATGCAATTCTAGCAGATAGCAACCGTATGCCGGAGGCCGATAATCAGACGGCAATCATCTTGAATGAAACGGGAGCCGTTAATTTGCATCGGCATGTGGTAGTCTATCAACTTCGCCTCATCAATACTGCAGTTCTTTGCGTACGAATGATCAGCATCTAGTGCTGTCTCTGAAGACGGATTCTAACTAGAATCCAAAA